GGGCTCAGGAGGCTCCTGGGGGACGGGGGGGGCTCCCACCGGGACCCCCCGAGCCCGGGACCGACCCCCCCCCAGTCCCCACACACCTGGTAGTCCACGAGGAGCTCGGGGCCCTTGAAGTAGCGCGAGGCCACGCGCACGTTGTACTCCTGCCCCGGGTGGTAGAACTCGGCCAGGCCCCAGTCGATCAGCCTCAGCTGGGGGGGGACAATTCCCGTGGGAATGAGGGTGTGGGGACCCCCAGATGCACCCCCAAACCCCCTCTGGGCTGCTCAGGGGGAGAGGTGACAGGAGCACCCCGGGGTGGCACCGGGGCCGGAGTTCCCGTTCCCATCCTCTTTTGGAGGGTCGGGTTTGGAATTTGCCCCTTGGGAATTTCACCCCCTTCTTCCCCCAAGTCTTTCCTCAGCTCGGGATGGTTCCCATGGGAATGGGGGCGTGGGGACCCCTGGAATGCACCCCCAAACCCCCCCCCGGGCTGCTCAAGGGGAGAGGTGACAGGAGCACCCCGGGGTGACACCGGGACCGGCTGCCCCGGGTGGTGGAACTCGGCCAGGCCCCAGTCGATCAGCCTCAGCTGGGGGGGGGACAATTCCCATGGGAATGGGGGTGTGGAGACCCCCGGATGCACCCCCAAACCCCCCCCGGCTGCTCAGGGGGAGAGGTGACAGGAGCACCCCGGGGTGACACCTGGGTGGTAGAACTCGGCCAGGCCCCAATGGATCACCCTCAGCTGGGGAGGGACAATTCCCATGGGAATGGGGGCGTGGGGACCCCTGGAATGCACCCCCAAACCCCTCCTGGCTGCTCACGGGGAGAGGTGACAGGAGCACCCCGGGGTGACACCGGGGCCGGAGTTCCCGTTCCCGTCCTCTTTTGGGAGGGTCGGGTTTGGAATTTGCCCCTCGGGAATCTCACCCCCTTCTTCCCCCAAGTCTTTCCTCAGCTCGGGATGGTTCCCATGGGAATGGGGGTGTGGGGACCCCCAGATGCACCCCCAAACCCCCCCCGGGCTGCTCAGGGGGAGAGGTGACAGGAGCACCCCGGGGTGACACCGGGGCCGGCTGCCCTGGGTGGTGGAACTCGGCCAGGCCCCAATGGATCACCCTCAGCTGGGGGGACACAATTCCCATGGGAATGGGGGCGTGGGGACCCCTGGAATGCACCCCCAACCCCCCCCTGGCTGGTCACGGGGAGAGGTGACAGGAGCACCCCGGGGTGACACCCAGATGGTAGAACTCGGCCAGGCCCCAATGGATCACCCTCAGCTGGGGGGGGACAATTCCCATGGGAATGGGGGCGTGGGGACCCCCGGAATGCACCCCCAAACCCCCCCTGGCTGTTCAGGGGGAGAGGTGACAGGAGCACCCCGGGGTGACACCGGGGCCGGAGTTCCCGTTCCCATCCTCTTTGGGAGGGTCGGGTTTGGAATTTGCCCCTCAGGAATTTCACCCCCTTCTTCCCCCAAGTCTTTCCTCAGCTCGGGATGGTTCCCGTGGGAATGGGGGTGTGGGGACCCCTGGAATGCACCCCCAAACCCCCCCCAGCTGCTCAGGGGGAGAGGTGACAGGAGCACCCCGGGGTGACACCGGGGCCGGCGTTCCCGTTCCCGTCCTCTTTTGGAGGGTCGGGTTTGGAATTTGCCCCTCAGGAATTTCACCCCTTTCTTCCCCCAAGGTCTTCCCTCAGCTCGGGATGGTTCCCATGGGAATGGGGGTGTGGGGACCCCTGGAATGCACCCCCAAACCCCCCTGGCTGGTCAGGGGGAGAGGTGACAGGAGCACCCCGGGGTGACACCGGGGCCGGCGTTCCCGTTCCCGTCCTCTTTTGGAGGGTCGGGTTTGGAATTTGCCCCTCAGGAATTTCACCCCCTTCTCCCCCCCAAGGTCTTCCCTCAGCTCGGGATGGTTCCCATGGGAATGGGGGTGTGGGGACCCCTGGAATGCACCCCCAAACCCCCCTGGCTGGTCAGGGGGAGAGGTGACAGGAGCACCCCGGGGTGACACCGGGACCGGCTGC